CATGAATAATGAGAAAGGTCCTTTTGGTGGCACCCGTTTCACGTGAAAGAGGTTATGTGCCATGGGCCGTCTCGTTCTACCCAACGATGTTGATCAGCAATAAATTACCCAGCAAAGTTTGAAGGTGTAAGTTTTCCAACCACACTGAGAGGGAGAGCTAGCAGTAACAACAAAGTTCCAAGAGGTCCAGCGATGTTGGTTAGCAGCAAATTCTCCAACGAAGTCTAAAGGTGCAAGTTTCCCCAACGAAGACCAGGAGTAAAGTTTCTCCAGCGAAGTTTGAAAATAAAGCTTCTCTAGCGAAGACCGAAAATAGAGTTTCTCTAGTGAAGTTCTGAAGTAGAGTCTCTTTGGCGAAGTTTGGGAACAGAGTGCTTCTTCAACGAAGTTTGCAAATAGAGCTTCTTTGGCAAAGTTCAGAAGTAGAGGCTATCTGGTGAAGTTTGGGAACAGAGTGTCTCTAGCCAAGCTCAGAGATAGAGTTTCTCCAACGAAGTTCGAAACTAAAGCTTCCTCAATGAAGATCGAAAATAGAATGTCCCCAACCAAGCCAGAAAGAGTGGAGTGATGATGGTGCTCCCAAGATAACAAGAATGATTACACAACTATAAAAAATAATGAAAATGAAATGTACATTACTGTAGGAGCAGCAAGGATAGAAAATACGTAAGGGTTAAAAATTACAACTTGAGAAGCACATTTTTGGATAGTATATTGTAACACAATAGTAAAGACAATGAATGTGCCCTCTATTATCCTTGACAAATACTTATACTCTATAATAAGCCACCTTCACGTTGTAGATAAAAGGCACAATGGTCCCCCTCAAGCTTTAACAAGAAAAAAGGAATAAACTTGAAAGTAGTGATGGGAGAAGGAAGGATGACCATTATGGGGGCTTGTGAATGGAGGGCTTGATCCCGTTTTTTATGCTAACTCTTCAACTTGATCCTCTAATGCATAAGAAAATAATCTAGAAAAATGAATTTGCAATATGCTGTCTTCTAACCATGATGTTCTGCAAGTCTAGAAAATATTCTATAGTGTTGGAAGTGCATAAAATGTAGTAAAAATGGTGATTTCTGGGTATTTTGGTGTATAAGGTGAGAGGTTGAAGATGAAAAAGTTTTCAGAGGGAAAATAGAAGTTTGGTACATGAGGAAGAAAGTGGAAGTGGAAAATCTAGTCTATTTTGTACGTCTCTCTACTGAAAAATGAAGGAAAGATAATATATATATGGCTAGTGGCATTTTTGTAATTTCTAGTTGATGGGTCAAAGGGGTACAAGTGAGCTTGGGTGAGTTGTCACGTTTTGGGTGGTTGACAACTCTCTGGCGATGGCATCATGAATTGCCTAGTGGTTCTAGCGAAGGATTGGAAATTGAATATTTCTGGAAATTTCTCCAACCATACGAAATACCATTTTTAGGGGGATAATTGAGTGCAATAGGCAAAATCAGATCTAGCCAAGATTTTGGTAAATTTCCAAGGACTGGCTGAGATATTGGAAGATTCCCAACATCTATCCAAGATTTTGGTAAATTTTCCCAACTAAGTCAGATCTTTTTCAACAGTTTCCAACTTGTGCAGCCACCCTTTTCAGCAATTTTCAACATTGTGCAGCCACCTTTGCATTAAATATGGCTACAAATTGTTGGTGGTGACCAAAATAGTCTCTTTAGTTGGTTTTGCATGGGATTCCAAGCTTCTAGTTAACATCAAACAGTACGGTTTTGTGACCAAGCTCAACCTCCACATCTTCGCCACCCAGCCCTTTTTGGGGAAGTCCGGCAACATCGCCAACGCCAAGCTTCGCTGATGAGAATACCTCGCTTCGCCATATAGGCAACGTTCACCCATCCATGCTTGCCAAGCCACTACTCCATAGTTTATCCCAAATATTCCCATGAGCTTGGATTCTTGGGTTTATTGATGACCTACATAAAGGAATAGTGATCAGTTTATGAAAATGATGAAATTTAATAAATAAGGAAATAATAAAGGAAAGAGACTTCCTTAGATATTTCTAGTGATTCAGCAATGTACTACAGCATTAGATACTATTGGGTTTAGCCATGTATTACAGCATCAGATACCGTTGGGCCTGGGCATGTATTACAGCATCAGATACCACTGGGCTTGAGTCCAAGTTTGACCTTTTAAAAAAAATCATCCATCAACAATTGACAAACAAAAAATTTCTAAATATGTGGCATTGAATTTTAAAATTCTAGAGCATCAAGCCACTTGGACATGGAAGGTGCCACACATGATTATCTATCTCAACAGTGGATAGTACCCAAGCAAAAGCTCCGTTAACCTTAACCAAATTGCTGACATCATTTATCCAATAAGGGTTTTTTTTTCAACTATTAGAAGAGTTTGAGGGGTTAAAAGCTTTTTTTAGTTGAGGGGGACTGAACTGTCCACTAGTTGAAGTGTTCATGGGTTGATTTGTCCTTTTATTTTTTTTCTTTGACCACACTCGTGTCTGTGACGAACTAAGTATCTCATTCAATAATGCCCACATTGTATTATAAATATCTCATTTCACCAATACCCGCAATATTAAGAGAAACATTAACTTTCTTTCCAAATGTTAAGATGTGAACACAATAATTTAGATTATATTCACACTTATTGTAAATATTTTATACCTTTTATACCTTAGAATATTCTCTTTGTAAACACCTATATATAAGTCATTATAGATGCAATATTATTCAAGAAAGTAATTAACTTTTCTTCAAACATTTCTCCTTTTTTTTCGATCTCTAATATGGTATTAGAGCTATAAGTTCCTAGTTCTTCTTTTATCACTACTTGGTTATTGAGTTGGATTTTCAGATTTATTCCATATCTGAAACTTTGTTGTTGGGTTCTCTTCTCCTGCAAATTGGATTGTTTATTCTCAATTCTCATGCCCTTTTTGAGGCATTTTATTGACTTGTAATTTCGATCTTGGCATCTATTTCTGCATACTTTTAGAGACTTTTTCAATATTGTGAGTTCTACTATTTCTATGGCGAGTTTGGAAAGAACTATGACTCATCTTGCTGCTGCAATGGTTGCCAAAGAGGTGATAGACTAACCTATTATCAACCCTAAATCTCTAAAACATGTGATATTAAATTTTCTTAATGCTCCTACTGCCTTATTTGCTGCTCCGGTATTTCAATTCTGGTTGTTGTAATCGCATGTCTTCAACTACTGCTTATTTTTCTTCAATGTCACCAAATAAGTCATTTCCTGACATTTATTCTGCTAATGGCTCCCCTATGAATGTTAGTCACATCGGTAATATTTCTACAAATTCGTTGACTTTACCAAATGCTTTCTTAGTTCAAAAACTTAGGTTTAATCTCTTATCTATTGTTCAGTTATGTGATCTTGGTCTTAAAAATAACTTTTTCTACTCATGGTTGTCACATGCAAAACCCATAGACAGGACAATTTCTTGGAACTAGTCGCAAGGTGGGGCGTCTATTTGAGCTCAATTATCTACATATACCTAATCATAAAATGGATACACCATCATTTCCAAATGACCGATTCATCCAAACCCTACTATGTACTGTTGAATTAGAGTCTTTGCAAATTCTATATCAACAAATCCTTCAAGCCTATGTTGCTACTAATATTTCTCTTCTTCATTTATGGCACTCACAGCTCGGATACACCTCAATCAGTACACTCCATCCTCTTACTTCTCATAGTTTATTAGGATCTGTTCCAAATGAATCTTTGCATTATGTGTCACGCCAATCTGCAAAACAACCAGCTTTATTGTTTACTAGTAGTCATTCTTTTTCTGCTGCTTCTTGTGATCTTGTGGATTCTAATATTTGGGGTCCATCTCCAACACCTACCATGGGGGGTTCCAGGTATTTTGTGTTATTTATTGATGACCATACTCGTTTTACCTGGATATATCTTATGAAAAATCACTATGTGTTGCCACAACTTAATATTGATTTTGCTATAATGGTCAAGACCCAGTTCTCTAAAATTATCAAATTTTTGAGAATTAACAATGCCATGGAATATCTTAGTACTAAACTTCAATCCTTTTTGAAAGAACAAGGTACACTGGCACAACAATCTTGTCCTTACACTTATGAATAAAATGGGCAAGCCAAACGTAAACACAGACATGTCCTTGATTCTGTTCATGCTTTACTCATTTCGTCTTCTTGTCCAGAGTGATTTTGGGGTGAAGCTGCTCTTACAGCTGTTTATCTCATTAATCAAATTCCATCATCGGTCATCAATAATAAATCTCCATACGAATGTTTGCATGGTATTCCTCTTGCCTATGATCTTCTTAAAGTTTTTGGTTGTGCTTGTTTCGTTCTTCTTCCACCTCATGAACATAATAAGTTAGAGCCTAAAGCTCGATTATGTTGTTTTTTGGGTTATGGGATTATACATAAAGGATATTGTTGTTGGGATCCTGTGTCACAAAAACTTCGAGTCTCATGTCATGTTGTCTTTTGGGAACACACTATGTTTTTCTCATTATCAAAATTCCAGGTGTCATCTTTTGATCAACCTCCACTTTTTACTAACTTTTCTATTGAGCTATTTCCTAGTGACTCTAATGCAAATACATTTGATGAGCTCCATGATGCCTCTCCACATGCTCCACGTGGTTCTATAGAAGATGTTCTACTTGCTGGTAATGTATTAGACAATGCTGAGTCTTCTTCCCTTACCTTTTTTGTATCACATATTAGATCTAACCCTATTAATCTTGAGCCTGAAAATGAGATCCTTAATCCACCTTCAAGTCATCCTACTCGGGTAAGAAATCCTCCTAGTTATCTTTGTGCTTATCATTGCTTTCCTACTATTACCTCCTTACATGAGCCTCAATCCTACCAAGAGTCCTCTTCTAACCCTCTTTGGCAGCAAGCTATGCAAGATGAATTACAAGCTCTTGACAAAACTCATACATGGGATTTGGTTAATCTTCCTGCTAACAAGTCTCTAGTATGTTGTAAATGGGTGTACAAGATCAAAACTCGATCTGATGGTTCCGTGGAGCGTTACAAGGCTCATTTGGTTGCTAAAGGATTTACTCAGGAACATGGGATTGATTATGAGGAAACTTTTGCACCTGTTGCTCATCCTACTTCAGTTCGTAGTTTGATTGTTATTATTACTGCAAAAAGATGGAAATTGTTTCAGATGGATGTGAAAAATGTCTTTCTAAATGGTGATCTTGTAAATGAGGTTTACATGAAACCACCTCCTGGACTTAAGCATCCTCCAAACAAAGTTTGCCAATTGAAGTGAGGTTTGTATGGTTTGAAACAAGCACCTCGAGCCTGGTTTGCGAAGTTTAGTACCACCGTAAGTGAATTTGGTTTCACTTCTAATCCTCATGATACTGCATTGTTCATACGCAAGACTAATCATGGTATGGTTCTACTACTTCTTTATGTTGATGATATGATCATTACTGTGGATGATATTTCAGGTATTCATGATCTTAAGCAATTTCTCAGTCATAAGTTTGAGATGAAAGATCTTGGTGTTTTGAACTATTTCTTGGGATTTGAGGTCACCTCTTCTGATGATGGTTATCTTCTCTCTCAAACAAAATATGCTTCTGATCTTATATCTAAAGTTGGACTCACTGACAGTAAGATTGCATCTACTCCTCTTGAGCCCAATGTTTGACTTACATCCATGGATGGTTCTCCATTAGTTGATCCTACTCGCTACAAATAGTTGGTTGGAAGTTTAATTTATCTCACTACAACATGACCAGACATAGCTTATGCAGTTCATGTTGTTAGCCAATTTATGACTACGCCTCACTCCACTCACTATGCAGCAGTACTTCGCATTATTCAGTATATTAAAGGTTCCATGTTCCATGGACTTCACTTTTCTACTCATTCATCTCTTGAACTTCGTGCTTTCTCAAATGCTGATTAGGTCGGAGACTCTAATGATAGTAAATCCACCATTGGATATTGTCTTTTTCTCAGTGATTCCTTAATCTCTTGGCGTAGCAAGAAGTAGATTGTTCCATCACCTTCTAGCACAGAGGCTAAATATCGAGCAATTGGAGACGCCACATCAGAGTTACTTAATTTACGTTGGCTACTAGAAGATATGGGTGTTTCTTAACTGCCTGCTACCAATCTTTATTGTGACAATCAGAGTGCCATGCAGATTGCTCATAATGATGTCTTCTATGAACGCACTAAACACATTGAGGTTGACTGCCACTTTGTTCGCCATCATGTTGCACAAGGAACTGTTCATTTGGTTTTTATTGGCTTCACTGATCAACTAATGGACCTTTTCACTGAGGTTCATTTTCCTAGACGATTTCCTACTCTTCTTTCCAAAGTCAAGTTGGTTTCATCACAACCACCTTGAGTTTGAGGGGGGATATTAAGACATGAACACAATAATTTAGACTATATTCACACTTATTGTAAATATTTTATACCTTAGAATATTCTCTTTATATATTTTATACCTTAAAATATTCTTTTTGTAAACACATATATAAGCCATTGTACATATAGGATTATTCAAGAAAATAATAAACTTTTCTTCAAATATTTCTCCTTCTTTTTCAATTTCTAATACCAAAAATTTCTTTTCTCTAAGGCTTTTCATCATGGAACTTTCACTTTCTTCCATCCAAGATCTAGTTAAGGAAATCAAGGAAGAGATGTTCTTAAACATCGATCCTTACTCATTTGTTTCTTCTTCTGCGTATGACACTGCATGGCTAGCCATGGTTCCAAATCCTCAGGAACTAGGTAAACCAATGTTCAAAGGGTGCTTGGAGTGGGTAGTGAATAACCAAAGAGAAGAAGGGTTCTGGGGAGAGTTTGATGGCCATGGCATGCCCACCATCGAGTCTCTTCCAGCAACTCTTGCATGTGTACTCGCACTCAAGAAGTGGAATGTTGGGACCAAGGAAGTGGAAAGAGGTGATTACACGTGTGTATAGGCTTGTATGGTTTAACTATTAGGGAACAGCTCATCGTAGCTGTTTTCTCTAATTAATCAAGTTTCCTCTAAATAGTTAAACAAACAAATATATATATATATATATATATATATAAGATTTCAATATTATAAGTTATACATAACTTAATTGAGTTTTAATTTATATTTATGTACCTGAATTTCATTTCTATATCTTACAACTTTTTCTTTCTTGATATAGGATTGGAATTTGTGGATG